ATGACAGGAAGCTAAGATCAAACAGGAAGGTGGGGAAACCATTGGAGGTGATTGTAGACCATCTTGGGCAAAACACGTAAGACTATGGGTTGGAGGTGTGGCCCAGCGGTAGAACATGTGCCTAGCATCCATGAGACCCATGGGTGGGTCCTAAGCACCAAAATTATAAATGTAATCATTTAATTCTCTGGATTTGATTATATCAAAGTAATTATCATTACAGATATGAGAGCTCTTTATCCTTTATAGTTTAATGATATATACATTGTGGCTGTAGGGTTCATCACTCATAGATGTCAAGTTCATGTCTTTTTAAGTTTTACTTGATTTCAGCATACACTTTGAAGGAGTTTAGATCTAGTGGTTAGCTGCTGAAAATTTGTTTTTCATTCATCCACTTACTCAGCTTTCGAATGTGTGTGATCTTTTGAGGGAATGCCATATAGACCCTTAAGGGAAGGCTGGGGTGAGGGTAAGCACAGGCCTAGGAGCAAGTGTAAAATATAGGATTTACACTAGGATTTCAGAGAGGGCAGAAGAGACCTTGACCTGAGTAAAATCTTGGGTATAAGACGGCAGGTGGGACATCAGACTGGAGATGATGAAGAAGTGATAAAGATAGCGTGCTGATGATGGGAAAGATTTAATGCTGAGTGGCTGAATTGGGGAGGGTGGTGTCCCAGTGTCAGCTGGGACTGAGTTGAAGAACTGGGTTGACAGAGCTCACAGATGCGGTATAAAGGGAAAGAAGGAAAAGTATCTGAGGGAAGGGAAGTTCAGCTGTGGCAGGTGTGGGACAGGTGACCAAGGAGGGTGACCCATCATTTCCTATCCATTACTGGCTCTTTGATTGGAGAAAGGTCTCTGTCGTCCTGCAGTGTTTTTAATTTTGAGTCATAGAATGGAAAAGAAGGAGAAAAATGGAAGCAAGTTTATGGAATGCCACCTTTAAATAGCAAAACTTTTAAATAGAATCAAATGGAAAGAGAAAAATTAAAGAATCAAGAATAAAAATTTAAAAAGCAATTAAACATCTTAAGTAGAAAAAAGTAAAGTTTGCAGTATTTAATAATTCAGTCAAAAAGCAGAGGAAGAGATAGTTTAAAATAAGTTCAGTGAAGGGACAATAAATGAAATAGAAAATTCACTGAACTATTTTAACAAATACAGGTTGTCAAATTTACATACAGTTTTTCTGCTCTTGGGACTGGAGAGTGAATAAAGTTGCTTTTAGAAAGAAACTGTACTTTAAGCTCCACAAGAAAGCCTACACGTCCCCGGAGTGTCTGAAGTCCAGAGTAAATTCTTTTTAGTGCAGTCAGTGAATGTTTGCACCATTAGCAGCCCTAATCTTCTCAAAGAAAAGTGGGTGGAAAATGAAAAAGAGTAAGATAAGAACGCTGATGGGCAGTTTTTAATAGTCCCTGGGGAGAAAAGAGTGGCATGGTAAAGATCTATTCCAGCCCTGCAGGAGCTGGAGAGAGACATGGTAATGTAGCTGCATCTGCATACCCCACAAGGATGCTGGAGTAGCTTCTCTACCTGCCAGGCTGCTGGCCGCCTGCACCCACAGGTTAGGTTTTTACTGCCATAGGGATTTAAAAAAAAAGGGCTCTGAGCCTCCAACACGTTTATCTGCACATGGCCAGGGAAGGACAGAGAAACTTACTGCTGACATCTGCAGGCTCTTCTCCATTTACAAACAGGAAGCTGAATGTGGGGGATGGGATGTGATCAATGGCTCCACAGTTAAGAGTGTGTACTGCTCTTGCAGGGGACTGGGTTTGGTTTCCAACATCCATATGGCAGCCCACAATGGTCTGTAACTCCAGTTCTACGGGATCTGATGACCTCTTCTGGTATATATAAATTCACAAGCACACACACACACATACATGTAAATAAGTAAATTTTTAAAAAGAAACAATGGGATGTACGGCACTCTTTGTCCCTGGTTTCTGCTGTCTACAGTGTCAATTGTAGGATGGCAGCCAGAAGGCCCCAGTTACAAAAGGGAACATGGACTTACTTCTTTTGGGGTTTCTGTATACTCAACATTGTCCATTTTTTCCTCAAAGATATCTCCCAAATATATAACTTCCAAACTAATTTTCTAACATTATAGAACAATTCATCAAAAAAGTACTTCTTCCTTAGAAGTACTGAGGCAAGATTATGTATTGAACCCAGGAGTTCAAGACCAACCTAGGCAATAGAGTGAAACTCCATCTTAGAGAGAGAGAGAGAGTTAACTCATCAGAAAAGAAGTGCAGGTGTTAAAAACAATTTTAACTTTGATTCATTTCTTCTCTCTGTCACATTTTATCATCCTTTACTCACAATAAAATACTCTTAAACAGTCTATGCACAGTATCTCTATTTTCTATTTCATAGTCTTATATGTTGAGATGCCTGACAGGGTGATACACTCCTGTAATCCCAGCCCTTAGAGGCTGATTCAGGAGGATGGAAAGTTGAAAGCTGACCTGGGTCTTATAGTGCATTCCAGACCAGCTTGAGCTATACAATAAGACCCTATCTCAAAACAAAGAAAAAGAAACAAAGAAGAGAGGGAGGGAGGGAGGGAGGGAGGGAAGGAGGGAAGGGAGGGAGGGAGGCTCTTGCTACCTGAACAGTGGATAGTTTTTTTTTGGAACAGTAGCTACACAAAGAATATCTTCCAAATGTGCCTGATGAGAATCATTTGCTCTAGCCTGGCATGGTGGTGTGTGCCTTTAATTCCAGCATTCGGAAGGCAGAGACAGAGGCAGACAGATCTCTGTGAGATCCAGGCCAGCCTGGTCTACATAGTGAGTTCCAGGACAGCTGGGGTTACGGGGAGGCCCTGTCTCCAAAAAGACACACACACACACACACACACACACACCAAAAAAAAAAAACAAAAAAAAAACTCCCTTGCTCTGATCATTATCAACAATGTTTCCATTCCCCAACCAGGATGTAGTATTCACTTGAATAGATCCTTTTATTGCACAAATACTTTTGATGCTTCTTAAATGCTAGCAACTGGGTAGGCAACTGTGGTAAGACAAGGTCCCAAACTTTGAGAGCCCTCTCTAGATAAACACCTCCAAAACTATTGTGCCTGAAGGAATAAAGGCAAAGTCAAAATGGTGTGATGTGGGCCAGGAGCTGCACTTCAATGGATGAGTGGGAACTGACTAAGCTAAGGTAGGGGAGAGCATCAATTACGGCTGCTGCTGACGAACATTTATTGAATGCTTACCAGGGGGCTAGCAATGCATCTTAGAGGTAGAATATGTGCCTAGGATGCTTATGGCCCTGGGATCAATCTCAATGAGACAGGGTAAAAAGACAGAAAAAGATAAGGGGACCAGGGAAGAGAAAAAAGCCTCTCACTCTGGGATTGAGCTTCCATTTCCTGCTTGCTGATAGTCAAGTAACTTCAACACAACTGATAAAGCTAAAATTGCCTTCAGGGATAGAACTTATCGTCCTAACAACATCTCAAAGAAGCTAAAAGCAGTAGACTGTTTACTCAGAACCAGAATGTTTGTGGACTTGAGTTTTACCACATTAGCATGCCTCTCATCCTTAAATCTATATAAACATCATGAAACAACCTTACAATTTCATTTGCAAAAGGAAATTCTTTAAGATTAGAGAAGTAAGTAAACTAGATCATTTTTTAAAATTATGTGTGTCTGTGGGTAGGTATGTGCCTGTGACTGTTATGCCAATGGAGACCAGAGGAGCCAAATCCCCCTGGACCTGGAGATATTGGTGGGTGTGAGCTGCCTGACATGGGTTCTAGGAAAGGAACTCAGGTCCTCTGCAAGAACAGTAAGCATTCTTAACCACTGAGCCATCTCTCTAGCCCCTCAATTTTTCACTTAATTTTTAAAATTTTATTAACCTTTAAACCTGTTGAAAATTACATCTTTTAAAAAACTTTTATTTATTATTATTGTTGAGTGTGTGAAATGGGGCAGGGCACGTGTGCTGCATCATGTTTGTACAGATCAGAGAACAATTTTGTGGACTCTGTTCTCTCCTTCCACTTTTGTCATGTTCCTGGACTCGAACTTGGGTCATCAGTCTTGTGTGGTGGAGGGCTTTACCCACTAAGCCATCTCTCCAGTATGCATCTTTTAAATGATGTAACTTAGTCACAGACTCAGGTATGCAGCTACTGTAGACATCTAGACATCTATGCCTTGGGTATGTACTATTTCTTCTAAGGGTCTCCCCAGCCCCAGGCCTCCTTGGTTTCACCCTGACTCATCTTGAAAGTTTTTTCTACAGCACAGTCAAGGGTCTAGCTATACGTGAGTGGAGGTCCCTGGGGTGGAGGATCTCCTCAGTATCCTGATGGCAGTACCCCACTGCCACTGACACCAATACTCCCCCACCCCCCATGCTATAAATATTTACTTACTATAGTGACAAGTACTGTGATAAATGCTTTGGATGTATTATCAAACATACCTTCATAAAAACTATTTTCTCATTAATCAGATTAGACAACCCCTTGTTAGAATTCAGTGACTAGCCAAAGAACAGGCAGTTGGCATGGCTCGCAGAGCAACACATCATTGTAAAGTGTCCTTCTTTTAAAGTATATTTTCACAAGCATATTCCTTAAATACATATTCCATAAATATGTACATGTACGTACATGTATGCTTAGTTATGATGAGGTACTGGTATGGAGCCTAGGGTCCCTGGCACTCTAAGCATACTCTCTACCATGAGGCTACAACCCCCAACCTTCAGAAGCTCACTTCATAATTCCTTATCCACTGCAGATAAAATGCGCATTCAAAGGCCTCTAAACTATTAACTAAATGCAACTGCAGAGTTTACATACAATCCTCAGAGCAGCAGCATGGAAACTTGTGTGTTGACAAGTTGTCCTTAATTCTACACACAAGCAACAGTGTTGAACTTGAAAAGAGTCACACCTACAAGATAAGGTAGAAGTGATTTTAAAGGGAGCTAAATCAGCACATAATTACCTCTTCATCTCCAGAGCTCAAATCCAGTTTGCTAGACTTTTCTTCCAGAAAACATTTCACCTTTTCAACCTCTTCCATGCACTGGAAGAAGGCCACTTTCTCCAGTGGGTTGCTGCTGCAGCAGGAACTGATCTCCTCCAGCCTCTTCACTTTCAGCATCCTGCTGGTGAGTCCCATGAAGCCACCATCTGCTGTGGGGTTTTCATCGCCCTCTGTCTCTGATTTGTAAATCAGGACACAATCATGGCTTTTCAGTATTCCCTTCTCTTGACTGTGAAGACAGGAAACAAGAAAATTCCTGGTCACTTCCTACCAGCTTCTTGGGGAAATGACAGTAAGGATTTGGAATGGTCTGCTTAAACTGGAGAGAGGCGCCAAAATCAGGAGGAGAAATGCCAATATTCATGTTGAAGCTTGCTTGCTTGTTTATTTGGCTTTGAGACAGGGTCTCCCTATAGCCCCAGCTGTCCTGGAACTCACTATGTAGACCAGGCTGGCCTTGAACTCACAGAGATCCACCTGCCTCTGCCTCCCAAGTGCTGGGGTTAAAGGCATTCGCCATCACACCTGGCGCCATTGCTGAAACTTTTAAAGAAAGAAAGTTTTCACTTTTTTCCACAAAAGCTAATAGCTAGAAGTATCCTCAGTTGACTGTGTAACTCCTCCATTGCATTAAACAAGACATACATTGAGAAAGAGTAAAATATTCAGTCCCAAACATGCTTATTTAACATATTTCAAGTTGGTTATTTAGTGAAACCACAGACCTCTGCACACACAAGGATGGCTGTGAAAATCTTTCCTTTTGTAAAAGGAAATTTATATCCATTTTCACTGATAAGTTGTAGATATAGGCAGAGATAGACCTGACATTTCTCCCTTTCTACCTAGGAAAGATTCACTCACAGGAAGAAAAGACAGAGGGTCTGACACCTGCCCAGAGATAACCACAGATGGTACTTACCTGAGAGACTTCATCTGCACCTCTCCCTCAACCTTCCAGAACTTTCCACTTCCTGTCACTCCAGTAACCCAAGCTCTTGTCAAGCTCTCAATAAGACACCATGTTGCCCCACTCTGAGTTTCATACTCCATGCCTTAACCGTGTGTTTTTTCCAGTTGCCTAGTGTCATGTTTTTTTTCAGAGACTAAAATTAGCTAAGCTTCAGAAGGAAAAGGACAAGTTTAAGATTTCCTTACCATATTAAGTATCTGGTTAAAAGAAAGAACGTGAAGGATTTGGGGGTTGGATTGGAATGTCAGGGTTTGCACCTCACTTTCCTATGGGAAAGATTTATCTAATAAGAGTTGTTTTCCACTTCCCGTGGAACTTTTGCCTCCCTCTTGGGAGGTATCTCCATCACAGCAATTCTCTGCCTACATTTTTAAAAATTATTCATGGCTGCAAACTGAACTCACTGACAGGCATATGCTAGGCAAGCACTCTATCACTGAGCCACACCCCCTAGCCTTCTGTCTACCTCTTAATACATTGGGTATTGATTTTTAAAAATATTTTATTTATTATTTTTATTTTATGTGCATGAGTGTATTGCCTGCACATATGTGAGTGTACCGTGTTGTGCAATGCCGTGGAGGTCAGAAGAGGACTTCAGATTCCCCTGGAACTGGAGTTAAGGATGGTTTGTAGCCACCATGTGGGTGCTGGGAATCAAACTGGGTCCTCTGCAAGAGCAGTCAGTGTTCTTAACTGCTGAGCCATCTCTCCAGCCCCTGGGTATTGATTTTTAAAGAGAAATTCACTTCCACAGTGAAGATGTAACCAAACACTTCTCTTGGCATCTTTACTAAGTGCTCTATATGGAGGGACTCAGGGTTCTTATGCTTTCTTTGAAATATTTTTTCATACAGATTAGGGAATGCACACACTAAATGTGATGCTTTCTTTAATTCTGAATACATAAATGCATCTTTGTATCTATGCATTACTTGACTACATAGGGAAAAATTAAGAAAGATTTGAATTTGAGGTTTCTTGTGGCTTACTCCTGAGGCCCCCTGCTAGAAACTGTCTGAAATTTGTTTCTTTTTCTCTACAATCATCTCTAATTCTTCCAATAAAACTTCATCTTTCATTCTTGCAGCTCACTGAATAAAATAACATACTAGAGTAGCAATGTAATTTAAATTCAACGTTCTACAAATTTCTGTGTAACACCCAGACAGCTTGGATTCAAATAAATCAAAATGCAAATAGCATCAATCAGAACTCTACAGATACATTATAGACTATCATTGGGATCTTGTAAAATTCTCTGAAAAAAGTAATTAAAATAAGAAAACAGATGCATGGGTATTTAAAGGTAGACTATGGCTAAAATCTGATGTTGACTTACAGGTGGTACTAAAACTAGATTAGGAAGCCACGTGATAATTATATTAACAGAAGCTTAGGTTTAACATATATAATTATGTAAAAAATATTAAACATTAAGCTCTATCTGAAGTTTAGAAAAACTTATTTAAAGCAACATAGAGAGAGGAAATTTGAGAGGTGTTAACAACAAACACGATTACCATCTATACGAGGACATCCTAGAGTTTGAACCACTCTAAAAGTAGAGAATCCCTTCCGGAAGACAGAAACAATCTGCAGAATTCAAACTGCAGAACTCTTCAATAAGAATCTCGACTCTCAGTCAGCAGAAGTCTTCTGAAAGACAAGTGTCCACCAGGAGAGAAAGGGTCCTCTCTCTTTCAAATGCAGCTTCGAGCCCCTGTTTAAACTAATATGGTCCCTTAGCTCATGTTGCTCAGCTGTTGCATTCTTAGTCAGATGGGGAAGAATATTAATTTTAGATGCCAAGCTTTTCAAGTCTGATGGCTCTATTTCAAAGGTCAGGTAAGGGGAGGATGAACTGGGAACACTGGATGAAATATCACCGTCACCTTTTGCTCTCACCAGTGTGGCAATACCCTAGGAATTACAAAGCTGGTTTTGTCCTTGGTGATCACACACCCCTTTCAGATTCACTTAAGTACCTGGTCCAAGCTGCCAGAACTTTAGGTACAGGAACCCCACATGCATAATCATTATGGTATAATCAATATATCATTTTCTCAATCCTTAAAGGTATTTGAAATGTCTCCAATTTTCATAATTTTGGGAGAAGTTCAAGGTACACATATCTCAGTAGCACAAAGAATAGGTGTGGGTTTTTCACAAATTCTCCTTGTAACACTATGACTCTTCCAGAGTTAGCATGGAAATAACCACCTTCCTGAATCCAACATTCCTAGATTTATTTAAGTGGCATAACACTTTGACTGCCTAAAACCTTTAACTGATGCTATAGACAACCTTCTAATTGTCCGGGGTCCAGCCAGTTGTCGCCTCTCGTTTTACCTCTGCTGGGCCCTCTGTGCCTCATTTCCAGCACCAGCCTCTGACTAGCACTCTTGTTTTTTTTTTTTCAAGCTTTTGTTTCTAATTTTATTGAAATTTTAATTTAAGAAATTCCAAACAAAATTAAAAAGGTGTTTTCCATAGTAAGTAGCATTTGAAGGATTCCATCAGAATCTTTTCTGAAAAGTAGAACCGTTGATATTTTTCTAGGATTCCAAAACTTTGTTTTCCAGGAAGATAAATTATTCAACAAACTATTGTGAAAAACTTGAACTGATTTCAGGTTACCAATTTTATAAGTATGACTAAATTGTGTAAAAGTACTGAAAACCTGTGGCTAGAGAGATGCCTCAGTAGTTAAGAGCACTGGCTGCTTTTGCAGAGGACCCAGGTTCCGATTCTCAGCACCCATATGGTGGCTAAAAATCATTAGTAATTCCAGTTCCAGTTCCTCTTCTGACCTCCTCAGGCTTTGCATGACATGGGTGCACTTACACACATGCAGGCAATACACTCATACATATAAAATAAAAATAATATCATCTTTTTTAAAGTACCAAAAAGGGAAAATCCTTCCCAGAAGAAGAAAGATGTGGCCACACCCTCCAGTCACCCCATCAAAATGGTAAAATCATAATTCATATCTCCTCATCTCCTAGCTACAAGCACTAAAAAGCCAAGGCCAGCAGATACATTGCTATTAACAAAGTCCAGTTTTAACTTTAGTTGGCTTTCTTCTTTTTGTCCTAAAAGTGTTTTATGTTCTAGAATCCCATGCATGCTTCCACATTTCATTTGGAGCCAATAGGATTTGGGATGGATTGGACACAGGGTGTGGAAGGAAGACAGTACACAAAGATGATTTACACAGTTCTTCACGTGCACTTGAAGGACAAAGGTGATGCTAAATGACATGGACAAAGCCATGGAACGTGCTAAGTCTTGGTTGGGGAGAATTCTGGAGCTCAGTTTTGACAAGCCCATTATTCAGGCCGAACAGCCCTAGAAGTGGAAATCTGTAGCACATGGGTAGGGGTGTGAGCTGGAGATGCAAATTTGGACAGTCATCCACATGCAGATATTTCCATAGACAATGTCCTCAACAAGAATTTGTTAATTAATTACTAGAGAAAATGATTTTGAGTTCATCTACATGCCCTAATTTTTTTTAAGGCAATAGAAAGAATTCATGAAGCTTGTCTTTAAAGTTTGATGACAGTGCTCCAGTTTTTCCTGTCATACTGTTCCCAGCTTGATGGTTTGGAGGGCAAGACACCTGGTACAATAATTTCCCACAAAAATCCAGGTATTATCTGCATACTCCTACTCCTCTACCTCCCCTCAGGACCCTAACCACTAACTATTCTAAATGTCTTCAAGATGCTCTTTATGCCCCCCAAAATCAATAGAAAGCTATGAGCAGACCCAGAAATACTTTTCCAATATTTTCACGACATTTGGAGTTGCATATCTTTTAAAAAATACAATATAAGGAAAACAGTCTTTCACAGAGCCAAGAATTCCTTGCTTGTAAGGCTGAGTGCTCAGGCTCTAAATGGGGCATCTTCATCCATACCAACCCTTTCCTGCCACTCCCCCACCACCAAGGCTTAGGGAACACTGAGGAGGAGCAAGCAAAGTGTAAAAGCTAGAGAAGATGGACAGGAATGCTGTGAAATGCTGTCTCCTGGACATGACGTGACTTGTACTCTGAACTCACGGCTGAAGCTACCTGCACAAGATCCACCCAGCCAAACTTCTGGCATAGACAGGGAAGCTGTGGGGTGCTACTGGCACTTGATAACTGCTGGCAGAGGGAAAATCATTCATTTTTGAGGGTGTTCCTGTTGTTAGGTTTCCTATGCTCCAGTGGCTGTCTCCAACCCATGCACATATGGGCAGCATTAACTGGACTTAATAGGTTTCCAAAAATATTTTTTAAAGACTTGAAGTTGTGAGGGAGATATGTCAAAAGGGTTAAGGGGGGAGTTGGAGGAGGGAAATGGGGGTGAATATTATCATATTTCATTGTACATGTGTATGGAATCCCAGCACTCAGGAGGCAAATGCAGCTGGATCTCTGAGAGATCGAGGCCAGCCTATTCTATATAGCAAGTTCCAGGCCAACTGAGGTATAGGGACACCCTGTCTCAAAAAGACAAAATAAATAAATAGATAGATAGATAGATAGATAGATAGATAGATAGATAGATAGATAGATAAATAGATAAATAGAATAAAAATGATAATGCCTTGATTGTTTTCAGGGAACATTTCCACACACGGAGGAAGACACTACCATCAAAGGAGCCACGTGAACCCGTGTTGCTGACAGCTTGTCTTCTGCTTGGCATCCAAACCAGGCTGGAAAATATTAATTGTTCCTGCTTATGCAAAGCTTTCTAAATGTTTCCAGAACAAGACCTCTTCTACACATCTGAAAATGCAAAGACTACTGCATCCTAGTGACCCACATAACCATCACGTGTCTTCCTTTCAAAAAGTGCCACTGAGCATGACCCTAAGAGCAAAAGCTGACAAAGTGCATTTCATCAAAGTTCAAAAGGTTTGATCTTCAAAAGGCAGCACTAGGGAAAGGAAAAGGCCAGCTGCAGACCTGGAGAGAAGACTTTGACATCATATATTTGATGAAGGGCTTGGTTTTTTTTTTGTTTTGTTTTTTGTTTTTTTGTTTTTTTGGTTTTTTTTTGATCTTTTGAGACAGGGTCTCCCTGTAGCCCCAGCTGTCCTGGAACTCACTATGTAGGCCAGGCTGGCCTTGAACTCACAGAGATCCACCTGCCTCTGCCTCCCAAGTGCTGGGATTAAAGACATGCGCCACCAAGCTTGGTTTATGTCCCAGTTTGCACCTTGATGATTGATTTTTGAGTGTTTATGTGTTTATTAATGTCCCAGTTTTAAAAGTGGAAAAAAGATGTGAATAGATATCTCACCAAAGAAGATGTCCATGTAGTTAATAAACACATAAACACTCAAAATCAATCATCAAGGGGGTGCAAATTAAAATCACGACAAATAACATTTCACACCTACTAGAAGAGTGATAATTTTTAAAAATTTTTACAAAAACTTTATTGAGAATTTCATACATGCATATAAGGTGTTTTGATCAAATCCATGCCCACTCCCTCCCCTCCAACATTTCCCCCTCTGAAGAGGTAACCCTAAAATCTTTTAAGGATTAGATACAAGCTCCCAAATGAAGAGTGATCATTTTTAAAAGTGACAAAAACAAATGTGGTTAGCCTGTGGAGAGCAGAGAGCCCTCATAAGATACTGGAAGAGGGAAATGTACAGTTGCTTTGGAAAATGCACTATTAGTTTCTAATTTCCTATAGGTCTAGTAGCTCTGCTTCTGGTATGTACCAAAGAAAAATAAAAATGCCCAGACATGTAAAACCTTGCATAAATGTTGAAAGATATAGTGTACACAATAGCCACAATTAGAAATAACCCAATAGCCGGGCATGGTGGTATATGCCTCTAATCTCAGCACTTGGGAGGCAGAGGCAGGTGGAGCTCTGTAAGCCTGAGGCCAGCCTGGTCTACATAGTGAATTCAAGGCCAGCTGAGGCTACAGGGAGACCCTGTCTCAAAAAACAAAAGCGAAATAACCCAAATGTCCATTGCTTAGTTTGGTGAGTGGGGAAATATAAAGTGGTATAGCCACACAAGTGGAATACTATTTAGCTAGCAATAAGAGGAAACAAAATACAGATGCTTGCTATAATACAAATGAATTAAAATGTGGTGCTGAATGAGCAGCACCAGAAACAAAGGCCATACGCTTTATGATTCTTTGTATATGAAATGTCCAGAAAAGACAAGCCCTCAGACAACGTGCGGTGGTTGTCTGAAGTTAGAAGCAGGAGCAAGGATTAACAGCAAACAAAATCTCATTGGCTGATGCGCTGTGGTAATGATTATATAACTCCCTAAGTTTCTTAAAACACGCTGAATTTCAGGGAAATGTTCCCTGAAAACAATCAAGGCATTATCATGAGTGAATTTTATGATCTGTAAACTATACTTCATTAGTGACACTAAGAAAAAAGAAAATTCAGTTTTAAGGTGACTAATAACACGTAAGCTTGTTAAACGAAGAAAAAAAAAAAGTGCTACAAGGCAGTTGGGAGCCAGGTGTTCCAGGTGACCAAGACTGGGCTCCAGGGAGACATAAATTATGCCCCATACCACTGGGTCAGTTGGGGCTAAAGAAAAGGAACAGGAAATGACGAATGGGAGAGAGTTAGAGGCTTCTATTTCCTCTGTAGTACAAATACCATGTAACATAAGATTTTGTAATCTAGAAAAATTAATGTAATGCAAAATTAACTTCCATACTTACTATTTGCTTGGAGACAGGCTACTCTGAACCAGGAG